CCTGACCAGAAGGCATGCTTTCGGCCCCCGCTCCCGTCCAAGCTTCCAACATCCCTACCCCGAACTGTCAGGCACAAGATACCTCAAACTCGGGGTAATGGAGAGACCTTATAAGCTCGAAGGTACGAAGATGATGAAGATGCAAGACATTTGAAGAGATGTGTCTCAGAGTGCTGGATACTCTATTCTGCCAGCCCTAAACCCCAAACCCTAAACCCCTTCAGCCCTAAGTCCTCAACCCAAGGTTGCCTCCCTGCCCGAAGGACTCGGATGCGGCAGTCTGCCTCATTCTCCTCCTTGTCCTGGGCACCGCTGTGCTCTCGACTGGGCGCTTTGGGTTTAGGGGCTTACACCCCTAGGCTTCTAAGCAGTGCCTTCCTATGGTTTATATTTAGAATCCCCAAAAAGGAACTACTTAGGGGTCTATGGGTATATAGCAGGTTTACAGGTTTGTTGACTTCTCTTAGCCAAGAATTGTGGGGTTCAAACAGGCTTGCTGTAGAGACTTTAAAGGGGCTGCATCGCAGGAGGTGGCTCCTGTAGGCAGAAAGTCATGAGAGCATCTGGGGAATGCGGAGGCTCTTCAGGTCAGAACCTGGAGGATCTTTCTGGATTTAAGGTGGATCTTGTAGAGGATCGCTGCGCTTCGCTAGCTCTCAGACATCAGAAACTAGAAAGCCTAAACGCTACACTGCTGCCTGAAACCAAGATGGTGTAGATACCTCGATATGTTCGGGTGCATGTCGGATGCCGGCTCTTCGTTCATCTGGTCGAGACATCCCTGACATCCACTGCCTGTCTGTCTTACAATACAAGCAAGCAAAGTAAGGCACTTTTCAGCGTTCAGCACGCCCTTGATGCCAGGCCGTCAAACCCGCTGACGGCGCATATGACCAGAGCACACATGTCATTATCCTTGGCGGGGGCCTTTTGCCCAGATGTCTTGCAGGCTGCAGACCAGAGACCTCAAGCCTTTGCCAGAGAGAGGTCTGCTGCGCTGACTGGATGTAGAAAGACCATGGCGTGAAGCTCTGTCGGGCAGTAGGATCGTCCACGTTGGTCTCAGGGTGAACGTGCTGCTCCAGGCCCTGAAGAGTATCCCGGCGTATCCAGACTATGTCGTGGTGAAGGTGCTGGTGGCAGTGGCTGTCACCGTCGTGGTGCTCGACTGGGTGGCTGTCGTCGTCGTTGAGAACCTTAGAGATGCGCATGCGATCTTCTGCCCACCGCACTTTTATGCCGAAACGGCCAACCTCGGGTTTGAATGAAGTGGTCAGCGAAACTCCTCCCCAAAGCTATGGAAGCTCTTGACTGGGGTTTGCAGCTCATGCCGGGACGGCCTGTGAGTGAACAACCCTGGATCCCAGCAAGTCACCGACAAAAGTATACAGTTATCATATATTATCAACTAGGGGTTAGAGGGTTGGGGAACGATGCGAATTAGTATGTCATCGAGAGGCTAGGCCTACATCGACCCATTGACGCTACGAAGCCTCACACAGCCCTCCCGTTGACTTCGATCGGAGGCACACGTAGAGTGTGGTCGTAGGCATGGGACTGGAAACCTTGGTCAGGCACTCTGGTACGAATGGGTTATCTACCCTAAGGGCCCATGTATTCAAACAGTATATGTATACTTTGGCCTTAATGTAGTCCTTTGGGGCCAAATTATATACTATTTGGGTACATGGACCCTTAGGGCTAGGGTTGACGCAAATGGGCAACCCTCTCTGGATCGGGCTTTGCTGCCGTCTTGGCAATGCAAGTACTTTGTATTTTGCTTTGCTTTTGAATGCCGTCCAACACTGAAACGTTGCTTTTTTCTTTCCTGTTCGACGAAGGCTGCTTTTCTTCGGGCATTGTGTTTGGATTTTCGGGCCTACTGGGTGTCCTAGGCACGTGGCTAGGAACCATCCACGCTTTGGCAACAATCCGTGGTCACACGCAATAATCGTTGGAAGTTCTCGCCTTCCGACTTAAAGCGCCTTGCATCTTGTGAGAAGCATGATAATTATACGACTCTTGTGGTGAGCAGCAGGCGCAATCAAACGAAACGGCCGATTCATACGACCATGCAGCAAGCAGGGCGGCCTTCAACACCTTGTCACAACAGCAACGAGTGCTTTGTGATGCAGGCGCCACGAGGGTACCATGGATGCTGAGCCTCTGCAAAGGGTCGCGCTTGACGCTTCAACTACGTAGGTGTTCTCGGTCTTCCTTTCGTAGCAGACACGATCCGCACCTGCTTGCTGCGTTGTGATCGGCTTGGAGTTTGTTGGTTGGTTGACGGATCTGGAAGGCAATCAGGTACCCTCAGACCAAGCGGCTGGTAATCCCCCGAAGTCAGCAGCGCTCGGCCCGGTCCTTCCCAAAAGGGTGTTTTTTGTCTGGGAGAAGACCTATATAGTCTGCAATTGGTAAACTGATTTATTGATACCTGTTCAAGCCATGGTAGCAGCAGCCACAGTTGTGCGTATTTTGTTTCGGCCATGGGAGCTTGCCGCGACTTGGAGATCCGGGGTCCTAAAAAGGTGAAGTCCAGGGGTTGGGGTATTCGGATCCAGTGCAGGTGACTCAGTGAAGCGCTAGACCGCTAGAAGCCTATATAAGCTGGTCATAAGTACTTCGAGCTCATCCCGTTCCAGGCCGATCCCGAGCCCATGTTTGATAGAAGGCTTTCCGAGATGAGACAGGACAAACATTTCTGCAAAAAACGAATGTCAAGATGAAGCCCGGATCGAAACGAACCTGCCTACTTTCGAAAGCACAAGGTACATGATGAGTTCCCAGCCAATACTGACACATTGCGCAGGCCCCACGAGCAGGCAATCCACGGCAACATCCGGCAGACACTTTCAGGCCGAAAGACCCTACCCCCCCAGGTGCCTACTATATAGGGCCTTAGGGGCTCTAGTACCCTATATAGTAGGTACCCGGGGGGTTAGGGAAAGACCAAGCCTTGAGCCTAGATCAACGTGAAGCCTAAACCCGAAGCCCTTTTACCCTCAACACTCAACTTTTGAGTTAACCAGGGAAAAGGGCAATTCCCTAACGCCGAAGCCCGCAAATCCCATTGCACATATATATATATATACATATATATATATACACACACACACACATAGCCCCGGAAAACTAGTAACTCCTTGCCCCAAAGTCCCCAAACCCCGTCCAAGGGAATGAGCCCCTTCCGAGGTAAGCCGGCGCAGCCGGCACGGCACTTGGGAGCAATGAGGACTCCTCGGCTGTTTACCCTCAAGCTCAGAGGGTTTTAAGGGCCTGGTTCCGATTCATCTAGAGCTCAAGACTTCTGAGCTGTGCTGTGGGCAGGTAACTCCCGCCCATAAGCTTCGGCCTCAGAAGGGGTTCAAACAAAAAAGCGGGGGTCTTGTGCTACAGGGCGCTGCAAAGCGCTTTCCAGCAGATCCTCTGGGCATGAGGCCTTTCGGACATTTAGTTCGGACGCCTGGGTGATAATATAGGGGCCTAAATAAATATAGAATCGGGTTTTGGGAGTAAGGAACCCCAAAATGAGGCACCGATGCTTTAATTCGTGCAGGGGATTTCGTGCGTGCAGAGGGTTCATGTAGAGTTCGACTCGCGCGCTCACAGATTTAGAGGTAAGCACAGCCTTTGATCATGTTGAGGGCTTTGGGGCTTACGGTTGATGCCCTGTTCCCGGTACCAAGCTCAGAAACCAAACCAGACCTGGCTTTAGGAAGGAGAAAGTTGCCGGGTCCTGCCTGCAAATGACACCACACTTTCCACCCCTCATACCTAAGCACCTCCTGATCAACACAAGTGTCGCGTTGAAGGGTTCAAAATTCAGGCTCGTAGCCACACCCCGGCTGGCCAGTACGTCAAGGTCTGTCTGGGTCACGCCGGCACCGTTGGAAAGCAACCTGACTCCGCAGATTTGGGGTGGTGACCCAGGTCGCGGACATACATAATCTTAAGCTTTATTCTGTCACATCGTTTCGGCTCAGAGCACTCGAGCGTGATTAGGATGAAGAGTTCAGGGACGTTGAAAGCATTTGGACTCGGGGGCTTTGAAACTGGGTCTACATTCTACATCTCCAAATGGTCTTGTAGGGATGTTGAAGATAGCTGCGATGATGCTGGCATTCCGACTCATCTCATAAACCTACAAGCCCATGTACATTTTCGTTGAACATGTGCCACTACTTCAACCGCATAGCCCGACAAGCTTATCGAACTCTGAGCCTCGACGGCTCCTGAATGTGTTGTCCAGTTGTCTGCATCGCATCAACATCATATGACAGGTCATACTATGATGGGGTATGATGTAGTAAAATGCTGTAAAACACGACACATTATCATATGTTTTCATAAACTATAACTGGATAGAAAGAAACACAATACAATATACTATATCTTTCCATGCTAAATGTACGATATACTACAATGTTAAATGATGTGCTAAGCAAAACACGATACAATGTAGATTGACAGCCCAGGCCCTGCTCGGGAAATAACTATGCAGCCGACTTCGAATGATCATGCTTGTAACAATACATGTATATATATATATATACATATATATATATATACATATATATATACATATATATATATGTATATACATGTACATGAATAAATATAAATATGTATACAGATTAGACGTGTATATGTGTGTAGGTATGTATGTATGTATGTATGTATGTATGTATACCTTTCTACACGCACATCCATCCATCCATCCACGCATGCACACACTCCATTTGCTGGCTTAGGGTGAAGGTATGGGATACTCTTGGGCAATTCTTAGGATGGTGTGTGTCAGTCGCGGGATGTGGGGATGGATCAAGGGGGTTCTTTCCACGCAGGGTCAGCCTAGTCCAGTGGGATACCCGACCCAGACTTGCCAAAGACTTGCGATACACAGTTCAGAGGTCCTTCTAATTAGAACAAGGATCCGACCATTTAGGGTTCATGCTCCGCTGTCCCAACTTTCGAAACTCCATGTACAGGCAAGAATCCAGTCCGATGCCGCGGTATTATTCAGCAACAGAGCCTGCAGGAGCAGAGCAGGCGGGCCGGATGCTGCCACCAAGACAGACGCGTCCGCCCACCCAAGTAAACAATGGGAGCTCGGGACTCAGGCGGAAACTGACGATTTTAGTCTGCGGCATTGCACGGTGACCGGGTGACCACATCCCAGACGTCAGCATCTGCAAAACCCGAAACCTCGAATAATTAATCCACGCAGTGGCGTGACAGCTGATGTCTCTTTAACCCGATTTTGACCATCAACACGACATGGCAGTTGATCCTAGCTCGCTGGAAGCTGCCAAGCACTGCCTGCATGAGAGCGGTAAAGCCGTCGGCATCGCGGGCTCCGTCGATTGTTGCACTGCTAGCACCACCGTACAGCTGGAGGACCTTGTGCAAGTCGGAACTCGCAAAACACGCTGTAGCCAGACATGTTGGGTCAGATCACCAACCCCGAAAATGGTCGACGAAGAATGCAAGGCGACTCTTGCGCAGCAACACAAGTGATGTCAAAGCTTTAAGCAGCATTGCCACACCGCTCGCTTTTTGTGTGAGCAAAACATGTATGAAACTTCTTGCACGCGCACTGTGACTTTATTATGCCATGTCAAATCAGGTGGGCCAAAACCAGCGTAGACAACTGAGGCTCAAAGGAACTCGATATAGTTTTCGACAGCTGCATGGGTAAATGCACCAGGCAAAACACAAGCTTCATCTAGTCGCACTGACGCTTGAATTGGGTTCTGAGATGCTATACGTAAACTCTATGAGACTCTATGGGGTCATGGAATCACATGAAAAGTAGAAACTGCGAGTCTCGGGTAGCACTTACAGTAACGAAGCGGCTTAAGGCCCGACCTGTTTAGAAGGCTCCAGGTGGGAACTGCCTCTTGAGTTTGGTGGGCCGTGTTTTGCATGTGCTGATTCCCTGAATCCGAAGCGAGCCACATGCGGCTTAGGTGCATCCAGCAGAGGAACATCATCCAACATGGCCGCCTGCCATGGACACAATCAGAACGTCTAGCTTTTGCTTCTTGTGGTTGCCTCTGGTCCGTCAATGCACGGAATATACGCGGACATCGGTGTTGGTGTTGCTGTCATCCTGTTGTTGTACGTAACAGTTCTTGCGGTCCTGCAAGCTGCAAGCTACATACAGTAGGCCTCCAGTTGCATCAAAGGCCTCGACAGCTGCCCAAGACCGTCATCTTCGAAATGCACCATTTCCGGCTGGACCATATTTACACTTCAAGAATGCACCATATTAAATAGGCCGGCTGCGCAATAGTTAATCGAGCTGACTGCGAATCCTCGTGAGAAACCGGATCGGTCTTTCCGAAATGCAGACCCGGTGCTGTTACTGTCTCTTGTCTCACCTGTCCTCCACCTCACGACCCCACAATTCAGGGAACTGAGACTGCATCAAATCCAGGCAGAGAGACTTGAAGTGTCAGATGCAAGGGAGACCCACTGCCCAAGCCTTGGTGCTACGCATACTTCGTCCTGCCTTGTGGAGCGGCGCACGCCCGTTGTGGTCAATCATGGTCAAGTTTCCTGCAGCCTCCTGGTGTTCATGCCGTTCAGCATCGCACACGACTTGGGTTCTTTTGACTAGCACGTCGACAAGCAATACTTGTGGTTCTTGTAATATCCAAGAGCAACTTAAGCGACGATAATGACTTTAGTCCGCTATGCAGCAGGCACCGGGGAATATTGGGGAAGTTGTGGGACTAGCCATAAAACAGTATGACGAGAAGGAGACGCAGGACGTGGAACCTCCGCAGCATAGAAGAGGAAACAGCAGTAGGCGGGGAGCGGCCGAGAGGAACACACATAGGATACGAAGTTAGGGGAAAGACACGATACAAACAGTGCTGGCTGTTGCTGCCTTTGCGCTGTCGTGTCGGTGGTCGTACCCATGGTGGCGACGAAGGAGGCGGTGGGAGCGGCACTTGAGCTCGAGACTGGGATGCCGAGGAAACAAATACAGGGTGGAAGCTGTGGCCTATCAAAAAGAAATACTGCGCGTGAAAAACATGAAGAATGGAAGCATGTGTGGGACTGCTGCTCCTGCTCTCCGCTTGTGAAGTATCGAGTCACTCACAAAACAGAACACCTGCAACAAGCTCTTCGAAACAATAGGGCTGTTACCGGTCCCGAACACCAACAAGTCGAGTCCAGCCAAACCCTGTGATGCCACATCGTCGCTCGTCGCATGTCCTCCCTATTGATTCAAAAAAAAGCTACTGGAATCTCAGGGTTCACTAGAAGGTGCTATCAGCAGCTCATGACAACAGCTGCTCCTCTGCTGTGAGGTTGCCCAAGACCATGACGAGATCTGCGAGCGCCTCTGTCCGAAACACGAACACTTACGCAACATGAATGCACTGAGCCTCCAAGGTTAGGTGGCTGCGGGGCCTTTGAACAAAGAACGTACGACTCTTGTGCAGCAGCTTCGGCGATGAGGCAAGGTACGAAAGCATGCATTCAAAACGGACTTCCATACCAACTGGCTGACGCAGATGCCATGCACAGAAATATACACAGAAACAGTACAGAACCCTCTTTACACTCATCTCATGTGCACGGGTCATAAACATGCATACCATGCACAACACAAACATGCAAGCGCACACATGCAGTGCATGCACCGCTGGTTTTTATATGTGCGAAAGCCTATACCGTGTGTACACCTTATTTACCAATGCCATGTGTACTTTAAGAAGTACCTTCATACATATGCGTGCGCACATGCTTGTCCATGTTCCGTGCTGGACATACCTGGGGAAAACGCGATGTACCTTCGCGTCTACAGTCTATATAGGGATGCACATCGGGAGCGCATAGTATAGACAGTCGTACGCACACGGTGCATGTACTCCTTGATGATGCTATTGCTCCCAGAAGTTGTGCAGAATTCGCCTGTTCTTGAGGCGTTCAGTGGTTTGAGTGGTTTTGACACAAAAACCCGAACGGTTGTAGGTAGAGCCAGCCACTATGTCTTGGAAGTGCGGTAGTGCAAACTTCGATTCAACCAAGGATCCCCAGATGTGCTGTGGTGGGGGTTTGGTCCGCGTCTCGTGCTTGGCTAAGTTGCTGCAAACTGCAGCTGTCGAAGAGTTTGAGAATTCCCTTTTGACCCGTGATTCAGGGAAGCCTTATGCGCTGAGAGCCTTTACATATTTTGTCCGATGACTCCTGACCATACCTCTTCTACCCACCCCCTGCAAAGAAGTATAACTTAACCCCAGAGCCTAAATCCCAAACCCAAAGTGCTCTAAACACCATCCTAGCTAGCCTTAGTGCTTGGAATAGGCTTTCAGGGTATATCATAGTACTCCAGAATGCCAATCAGGCTTTGGAATACATTTTACCATCCCATCAGGACACGTAAGGAAACCTATAGGTAGTTGTTCAGGCCTCGGCATGTCATCCTGAACCCTAGTCCTTCGAACTCTACACCAGAGGCCCAAAGGTCTCAAACCCTAAAGCCTAAACCTAAAACCCTAAATCCTTATAAGCCCTAAACCCCTAAACCTTAAACTCCATGTCCAAACGCTCAAAGACACTCCCTCAAACCTCCCAATCTGATTTAGGCCGGTCTAAGTGCCAGGAGGCAGAATAAGCCGCTCCAAGCCCGAACTCCAACCTGCCTCCTGTATATCCCGGAGCCTGAACCCTAAACCCACCTTCTAAACCCGAATCCATAAATCCCTAAACCTACCCAACTAAATATCCCCCTGTTTAGAGCTGGGCTCTGAGTGCCTAAACCCTATAAACCCTCAACAGGGTTTAGGGGTTTGGGATTTAGGGCCCTAAAACCCTAAACCCTGAATTACAGCCCTCAATCCTTAACCATTGGCTTCCTGATCGCGCACGGCATCCCCACGGGGTCCCCGAAGGTCGATAAGCTGCCTCGCCGTAGAGCTTCTGTAACATAGAAGACTTCGTAGCTGCAATAGGGTTCCTTTACAGGCGTCCTATAAGGGTGTTTTCGCCTCCCACCTAGCTAGGACGAGCCCACATTGCAGGGTTGAGTAAGACTATAAGGGGGTTCTATAAGAAAGGACCATAGGGGTTAAAATAGGGTTTGCGGTATATCACGGAGCAGAGACTCCGAGAGGAGATGGTACTTCCCTCGCAGCCAGGACGCTACATAGAGCTGCCTTAGACGGAGGCCTTTTTCCTTTTGGTTGATGGAGCCTCAAAAGAAGCGCTTACAGAACCCCTTCAGCCTTCAAGTAGGAGACTCTAGAGTAGCCCCTCACAGAAACCTTTTTCCCCTTTGTCCGGAAATTGGTCCGAGGCTTGACTTCCCGGATGCAGCAAGCCCGTAGCGGCGTAGTTCCTGCTACTGGTAGTTGTCTAAGTTTGCGTCAGTTTGGGGGAGGGGGTCGCCACAGACTCAAACCACATGACTCGTATCTTGAAGACCCCCAAATTGAACCCTAAACCCTAAACCCCAATATTTCGAACCCTCGACCCACTTCGACACCGCTTAGCCCCGAATTAAACCCTCAAAAACCCCAGCAACAGTCAGACACATTTAGAAACCTCAGCGATCTCCGTGAAAGCCTGATATCTGGAGCCCAAATGATTAGCACCACTATTTTGCGTTCCTTATCCTTTAGTGTAAGCTGCCCCAGGCAGCGGCTTACCCCAAAACCTACCAAGCGCTCGACCAAGTCATACAGAATACCCTGTAGAATACCTTATAACTTATAGAATAACCCATTTATTATTTACCTGAGCAGCTGCCCGGCAGATGACGACGAGGCACTCCACGCGCACTGCAGTAGCAGTCCTCGCAAGGTGGGCGGCTAGGTCTATAGTCTTACAGTCTTTAAGTTTAGGGGTTTCAGCGTATGTTTGGGGCTTAAAGGTCCGGCCGGGTTCGGGATCCTAAGTCCCACGTCGCAAAGCCCGGCTTGAGTGTGAGAGGCTTCAAGGAAAGCTAGGTTAAGAGTAACGCTAATCTTGCTTTTAGGAGCTGGCCAGACTGAAGTGCGTTACCCAGAAGATGGACTTCGGCCAGTCTGGTGACATTTGCCAATGAACAATCCCGAAGGCTCCATGTGCACATATAGTATACATTTATAAGCCTTGCAGGGGTTCCTAAATAGGTATTTTGAGCACGTGGAGCCTTAGGGCAATGTAAACCAAGCGTCGCAACTCCGACGCTGAACAAAATCCGCACCCCATGGATTGGAATTGGACCGTCCCTAGTGGCTCCGGCTCTCAATATTCTTTGCGAACCAGCCATTTAGAGTTGAGGGGCTCTTTTTGATTACCTTCATGAGTATTGAAGAAAGCTTTGGGTGTGCTAGACCGAAGGCACGTTCATGTGCCACCCCGATCATGTCCTGTCTGGCACCCGGCCGTCGCCAGCTGTGTGGCAGTAGCTTTGGCGCTCGAACTGGTAGGGGCAGTTCTCCACGCAGCCAGTGATGTTCGGGAAGGAAAAGTGAATCGTCGTGTTGTCCTGCAGCTGGGTACAGGACTCCGAACATCCGTGGGTGTTGGCAGTCTTTGTCCCTTTGTGGAGTAGGAGCCAGTAGAGCAAATGGCCGATTAGGCTACGGCACCCGCTTACTTTCTAGAATAGGGTCTTAGCACCAAGACGGCAACCTCAGACCAAACCCACGACTTGGGGCCAAAGAGAAACCCAAGCTGTGCGCTGCGACTGTATAAAAGGCGAGAGGAAAAAGCCACACAAAAAGCCCTGAACCTGAGAGACTCTGCGTCGGATAGCAAGGCCTACTACTCCCAGGCCTCCGGGCATGACTCCGGACCGCTGCTGCCTTTTGAGGGGAGGCCAAAAGGAAATCTTAGGGGGTAAGCTGATGGGATCGCTGAAGGCGTCTTTGGGGTGCTTCTGGCATGAACATGTTAAGGCCTCTCTGGGGTTAGCGGGTTGCTTCCGTGCAAAATCCTCTAATTAGACTCTATCCTAAGCCGCTTGAACAACGAATTACCACCAAACGAACCAATTCACCTCATACAAAGTAAAGTGCAAAGCCGCGACGAAGCCCTGGCAAGGCCTGCCACAGAACTGCCGTCAGGCTCGCGCGACGCGGACGATTGCTCGAAGTCCTTCCGGCGGCCGATGGTATTGGGTTTAGGGGTTTAGGGTTTAGGTTTAGGTTGAGTCTTTGTAGTTGCGATGCTTTGTCAGTGGGGTCTCTTTGAACCATGGTGCAAATGTAGCACTTGCAGTGCATGCTGGTGGCATATTCTTAGCTGATTATAAACTCATTCATCAAGGGAATCAAAGCAACAGCCCCCGGTGCCAACAGGAATTTCCGTGGTGAGAAGCATGTCGTCCAAAGAGCCAGGGGCTGAAAGCTCGGAGCTTAAGGCCTGAATGGTCTAATACGGCAAGAACCCAACAGGAAATGTGCGTAGCGATGGTTCAGATTTCACAACCCCCTAATGGGGCTGTACATATAGACATACAGATCTAGAAATATCTATTATAAATTGTGTTGAACACAAGCTGTGGAAGGGGACATCTAGTTTTGGAAGCACCCGGTTGTGGGCAAC